CCCAGTGAGGAGATGGCGTCCACTAAATTCTGAATCAACTAATGACAGTGGAGGTTTGCTAGATGCCAAGCCCATGGATGTTTGTAACTGAGTTCTCATTCTGGGAAACTTGTCTGAGTTTTCCTTTATCCAGGAAATGCTAGGCGGTTGGCTGAGTGGAATACAAGAAGGAATTTTTCCAGCACTTAACACAAGGTGGCGCCAGACACCCGTGAACTTAGTGAAGTCCCCCTTCCAAGTGGGCTCCAGATGCTTTGCAAAAGTTCCCTGAAGGGATCAATCAAGTCGGATCAGATTCAAAGGAAACTAAGAGCTCTGCACCCACAGAGGGCCTAAGAAAAAACTAGAGCACATCGAAAATAAGAAAAAGTATATACAGATATATATAGAAGATTAGATAGATAGATGATAGATAGATAGATAGATATAATATATACACATAACACTTATATAAAAGATGGGGAAGAGGCTAGACAAACTGAATCTACAAAACTTCTGTAAAAGGAAAGTAAAAGCATGTCACTGGGAATCCCGGTCAGGACAGGAGACAGGCATGTATGGAAGGACTGGAAATGGAGAGCAGCCAGTGAAGAGGCTATTGCAGATGTCCGGGCAGAAAGGGTCGTGACTTGGGCCAGGGATTTGTGGCAGTGGAGAAAAATGTCTTCTGACTGAGGTATTTACACTTACTAGTATTCTTCATTGATACGGAGTCAAAAAACCCAACATGACTGCATAACAAGACTTGCTGAAGTGCATTCTATTCATCTTTTTTGAGAATTCACTCTATTAGCTTAGTTCTTTTTATGTGTTATTATGGACTCGTGACATTCCAACTCTGTCAAATTGATGTCAGCCAATATTCTCATTATGATGCTCACACTTTCGCAACTTTGGCTGGTGGGGGCCCCTTTTAGATTTCAAATGACCCAGTTATTTAAAGCTTTCCTTCTGGCCCAACAAGGTGTTAGGTGTTCTGAGATGGCCTCATACTCTTCTGCCCCAGACCAGATACAAAATCAGACATTGTTCCAAGAAACCCTGGCTTCTTTGGGGAGAAAAATAGCATTAAAAACCATACTGTAGGCGTTAGGGTGCATTATGGGGTAACATGTCACTGGGCCATTTTGATGGGGAAAAAGCCAGAAAAGAAATTTGTTGGCCTCTGGTGGTTCAGTCAGTTAAGCGGTTTGTGGAATGGAGCCCACATCGGGGTCATGCTAACAGCGCAGAGCCTATTTGGGATTCTGTCCCTCTTTCTTCCCCTCCCCCGACCTGTCCCCCGAGCATGTGCATGCATGTGTGCAGTCTCTTAAAATAAATTAAAAACTTACAAAAAAGAAATATATTTTTAATTAAATGTTTTACAAAGGCATGACTTCATACTGATATATTCAATTCAATTCTAACAATACATTGCTCCTACTCAAATTTTTGAGTCTACAATTGGCTTTCTATTTCACCAATCCCAAAATCTAGGTTCATATCAAAATAAATGTAATTATTTACTTGCTCTGACAACTTAAGAGAATATCTCCAAAAACAAACCAAATACACACACACACACACACACACACACACACAGTCATTACAAACAGTATAAATACTAAATAAGGTTTTTGTTTTGGAGTGCACACTCCTCAAGATTTGTTCCCAAATTATTCTGTTCTAGAGCTAACAGTCATCTCCCCACCCCGTGTCGCTATATAAGGATGTAACTGACAGTTGTGGTTCAGTTGTTTTCATTCACTTTCATTTAGAGGAGGCTGCAAATTGCCCCCACCCCCATTTTCTGCTCTACCTTTTCATTTTTCATTAGACTTACACATTCCCAATATGCCAGATAATTCATTTAAAAATAATAATTACTATAATTATTTGATTTTGTATTATCTTATTATTCATGTTTCCCCTCTTCCCTATGAAATGTAAACTTTATGGAGCAGGGTGTTTTGTTCACTGGACTCTGGCAGTTCCCTGAGGGCAGAGTAAGAAAGCTGGGTTTGCGGGTGCCTGGGGGGGATCAGTTGGTTAATTGTCCAACCTCCCCTCAGGTCATGATCTCAGTTGGTGAGTTTGAGCTCCCAGTCAGGCTTTCTGCTGTCAGAGCGTGGTCTTGCATGCTCGCTGTCTCAAAAATAAATAAACGTTCAAAAGAAAAAAAAAAGAAGCTGGGCTTGATTCTGTGGAAAGGGGCATTCCACCGGTTGAGCAACATCAAGGACTACAGAGATGGTCTTCCTGTTCTGTTGTAGTTATTAACTATGCCCCTTTTCACCCCTTAAAGATTTTTGTTTTTAATTTTTAAAAATGTTTGTAATGTTTATTTATGAGAGCGAGACAGAGTGTGAGTAGGGAGGGGCAGAGAGAGAGGGAGACACAGAATCGGAAGCAGGCTCAGGGCCTGACACAGAGTCGGACGCTCAATCAACAGAGCCACCCAGGCGACCCTGTTTTTAATTTTAAAGGAGGAGAGTAAGTAGGGGAGAGGGACAGAAAGAGAGAAAATCTTTTTTTTTAAATAAAAATATTTTTAATGTTTATTTTTGAAGGCGTGATAGCATGAGTGGGGGAGGGGCAGAGAGAGAGAGGGGACACACAGAATCCAAAAGAAGCAGGATCCAGGCTCTGAGCTGTCAGCACAGAGTCCCAAGTGGGACTCGAACTCATTAACTGTGAGATCATGACCTGAGCCCAAATCGGTGAGCCGAAGTCAGATACTTAAGCAAATGAGTCACCCAGCCGCCCCAAGAATCTTTTTATTTTAAATTTATTTATTTTGAGAAAGAGAGAGAGAGAGAGAGTTCCACCACTCTCAGCACGGAGCCTAATGCAGCGCTTGATCCCATGACTGCAGGATCATGACCTGAGCTGAAATCAAGTCAATTGCTCAACCCACTGAGCCACACAGTGTTGTGCCTGAATCGCGAGTCCCAGAGACCTCCAAGGAGCCGACACCGATGCAAATACAAAAGGGTCTTTATTACAAGCTCGAGCAGGGGCTCACCCGCCTACCAGTGTCGTGGCAGCAAGGTGAAAGCAAAGAACAATAGCGAACAGGGTTTTTAAGGAGTAAGGGATGGGGGTGTTACAGTATGTATAGCATTATCACATAAGCACCAATTACAATTGTACAGCAGCACCCATGGTCACAGCTTTGACCATTCAGTATCTGTGAGGTGTTCATTACTTTTGGTGGGACCCAATCATAACTTTTGAGAATCCTTTGAAAATGACCACTTATGAGGTGAGTTCAAAAGGCCCACGTGGGGTTCAGGCAGGCGGTGAGAAATTGGCTAGTTTGTATAAAATAACTGTTTGCAGTTCCCAGCCTTGACTCAGACCATAGGAATGTTTTTTTGATTAGCTCATCTGAGGGCGGTCCGAGGATGGCTTTAGCCTTGAACAATCTGAGGCTTTTCCTGGAACTGGGACTGGGGCTACGTGCAGCCCGAGATTGCTCTTAATGGAGGACTTAATTTTAGGCTCTTCAACAGGGGCCCCAAAGAGTTTTTTTTAAAGTAGTCTCTATACCCGTTGTGGGGCTCAAACTTACAGCACGGAGATCAAGAGTTCCAGGCTCGGGGCACCTGGGTGGCTCAGTCGGTTAAGCGTCCGACTTCAGCTTAGGTCATGATCTCATGGTTCGTGGGTTCGAGCCCCACGTAGGGCTCTGTGCTGACAGCTATCTCAGAGTGTGGAGCCTGTTTCAGATTCTGTCTGTCTCCTGCTCATGCTGTCTCTCTCTCTCTCTCTCAGAAATAAATTAAACGCTAAAAAAAATTTTTTTTTAATAAAAAAAAAAGAGTTCCAGGCTCTACTGACTCAACCAGCCACATGCCCCTCTTTTCACTCCTTAAAGTGTACACTTTAAAGAGCCAGGTGATGGGGGTAAATGGATTGGAGGGGAGGAGAGGAGGTCTCGGGAGTCAGTACATAAGCGCTCAAGGGGAGAGGGAATGACCCGCTACATAGGAGCCAAGCCCTCCAGTGTCGTGAACTAGCTCAATGTCTGGTACATGATTGCAATGACCTCAGTGGATACATGTTTGGGAACTGGAAAGAACAGAATAATCAAGAGAAATTTCTCTATACATATATACGCCAGCAAGAATGGATGAGCACTGGGACAGATCGTGAGAGGGACTCGAGCAGAGGGAAATCTTGGGTGATTTCTGGGTTCTAGGCCTGGACAGGTGACAGAGGGACGGCAGCCCCAGGGTAGAAGTGGGAAGAGGGAGAGTGGTAACCAGTAGAGAAATATGGCCTTTATTTTTACAAACTGAAAATATGTTTCCAGTTTAGGCTAAATATAAAACCAACACATGCTCTTCATGAAAGAAGAACAATACGGAAGCACTCAAATGGTACAAAGGAAAAGATCTTCAGTATTGTCATCCTTCTGGAAAGCCCACCTCTGGCTACTTGAGACCCCACTGGGTAGAGAGGGGGTTGTAGGCCTCTATCTTACAGGGGAAACTCCCTGGTTGAAACAGGTAGATAGTCCCCACCTCTGGGCTGCCTGGAAGGGAGGGCTAAGAAGGGAGGCACAGGTCCTACCCATCAAACTCTTCACCTCTCAAGAAACTCCCCTCTCCACTCCTTCTCTAACCCTGACTTTCTTCCTCACTTGGTAGAAAGAAGGGCAGGAAGAGGCTTCCAGGGGTGAGTCATGGACGAACATGCCGGAAGGGGCTAAGGACACTCGAGTGAGCTGTCTTAAGCAGGAGAGGTACCCAAAGGCATTTCCTGTGGAGCAAGTCCTCCAGGAAGGTCCAGGGGCACCCTGACCAGGTAAAGCTTTGGCCGGCGGCATAAGTCAGGGTTCTCATGAAGCCAGAAGCTGTCTGCCACTCTCACTGCCCCACCCCCTACCTGAGGTCACCCCCACAACTCCTAGCCAATGGTGGGCTTCAGGAGCTTCTCTGGACACAAGGTTGATAATGTAACTAGAACCCCAATGACCACTTTTTTGGAAGAAGCCAAAAAGATTCCCCAAGGTGACCCCTTTTTATTTTTAATGCTCTACTTTAACAACTCTACAGATAAAGGGAACACAGCAAACATCACACTTATTATTGACATCTTTCTGCATTCTCCTCTCCTCATATGCATACATTTTATGTGCTGCCTTCAGTGTGCACACATTATTTATTCTTTAGTTAAGTTTCTCATGAACCCACAGTATCCCATTTTCCATGGGCCTGCGGCCTCCATCTGGGTCATGTATTGTAGAGCTGGCTGAGCCGTTGACCTCTGCACAGGCGTTTGGCTGGAAGCAAAGTCAACGCTGCTGTGCCCATCCTTCCTTTCTTCTTCCAGGTTTCTTCTACGAAAGCGGGATCTTCATGCTAGCTGGTGTGAAGAGTTTTTATCATTCTTATTACACTGTTATTACACTCTGCAGAAAAGGTGAAACAATCACAATGTACAGTGTTGCCGGTCTCCCAAAACTCTCCAAGTGCTGGATATAAATATATATGCATATGGTGGTTTAACGGTTGTATAGTTAATTCCCCCATTTTATAGATGACAAAACTGAGGACCAGAGAAACCAAGTCACTTCTTCAGGGTCATTCAGTCCATGAATGGCAGCCAGATCCAGTTCTTAGAGGCCACATCTCCTCACCCCGACTCAGTGCTCTGTCTGCCAAACCACTCTGCCTCTGACGGTCGCTTCTAGACATGGACCCAGCAGGCTCTGCTAGCTTTTCTTGTCATTTGTCCATGGGGGAAAACTGATCCACAGCCTTTCCCTTCGTGGTTCCAGTGCCATGCCCACCAGCTTCTCAGTTTCAACTGGGGCCTCGCAAAGCCCCCTAGATCCAGGTCCTGAAGGGCTCCTCCGAAGACAGCATGGCAGTGGCACAGGCTTCCACCTCTTCCCTCCTGCAGCTGATTAACTTCTGGGGTGAATTGGTTATTTTCTGAAAAAATAATTTTCATTAATATTCACTCATTATCATGTCATAATATTCATTATGGTGGAACATACTACTGCTACATTATAGTAGCAGTAAAGTAGTCACAATTATAGAGAATATTGCAGAAATCTCAGCTACTTGATTAACTTTCAAGCAACAACAACAACAAAAAGATAATTTTAACCCCTTGGATCAGAGGCTTCCAACATTTACTGAGAACATCCCCCAGTTCACAGACCAGCAGATCTCTTGGGGCCCTGCTATGCCCATGCCCATCTCTCTGGGACACTGTGCCACGAAACCCCAGAATGTTAATTCTGGTCAAAAAGTCTAACCATCCACCAGAGAGCTCTGAAAATAATGACCGTCTGAGATGCTCAACGTACAGCATGTGGCAGGGCGCCCAGTCCAGAGATGGCGCTCCATAAATTGGAGTCCCTTCCCACTCATATTCATGTTGCTACCATATTCTCCCAGCGATTCCAATACATGGTCCTGAGTGGCTGTAAAAGTGCAGGTGTCAACATTTCAGAAGGACTCTCCCCACTGTTCCTAGCCCGCTCACCTCCACCAGATTCACTAGCTTCTTCTACAGTTATCCCCCACGGTCCTTCCCATCATCACTCCAAAGCGGAGCACATGGGCACAGCAAGCAGGCACAAGGGGTTCCTCCACCTCAGGGCCCGGGAGACATCAGCTTCAGGGAGCCAGGTGCCCTTGGTCCTTGTTTGCAAAGAGGCAGCGGCAGGGCTCAGTCCTGGTGTTCACAGGCAATTAACGGGGAAAGACAATGTACAGGGTTCACTGAGGGGGAGTGTCGTGTGGAGGCCAGCACCAATCCCCTGCTGCCGGTCCAGTCAGATCCTTAGAATACTAGCTACCTAAATCTGCAGTGATTATATGTGATTACTTAACTCTAGAGGAGTGTCCAATGGAAACATAATTTGAGCTACATACACAGCTTAAAATTCTCTAGTAGCACATTTTAAAAAGTAAAAAGGAACAGGTTAAATTAATATTAATAATGTGTTTTATCTTTAAAATATTATTTTAATTTATGATCTGCATAAAAATACTAATGAAATCGGTTTTCAAAATCCATTGTGTATTTTATATTTACAGTACCTCTCAATTGGGACTAGACACATTTCAAGTGCTTAATAGTCACACATGGATTACAGCTACTATACTGGACAGTGGAGTTCTAGAACATGAGAGTAAAGCAGCATAATCTCAGAAGTTCACAAGGTGTGAAACTCTTGTCCTGTATGCTAGAACAAACTTTCAAGCAAGGCTCAGTTGATTTGGTTTTTGTGTGTGTGTGTGTGTGTGTTTTTAACAAATAGTTCATTGTCAAATTGGTTTCCATATAACACCAGTGCTCATCCCCACAAGTGCCCTCCTCCACGCCCATCTCCCCCCTCCCCCCCACATCCATCAGTCCTCAGTTTGTTTCTCAGCATTCAAGAGTCTCTCATGGTTTGCCTCTCTCCCTTTCCCCCACCATTTCCCCCCTTCTTCTCCCCCATGGTCCTCAGTTAAGTTCCTCCTAATCCTCCTATACGTGCAAACATATGATATTTGTCCTTCTCTGCCTGACTTATTTCGCTCAGCATAACACCCTCAAGGTCCATCCATGTTGCTACACATGGCCAGATTTCATTCTCATTGCCACGTAGTATTCCATGGTATAGATACACCACATCTTGATCCATTCGTCAGTTGATGGACACTTAGGCTCTTTCCATGTTTTAGCTATTGTGGAGAGTGCTGCTATGAACATTGGGGTCCACGTGCTCCTATGCATCAGCATTTCTGTATCCCTTGGGTAAATTCCTAGCAGTGCTATTGCTGGGTCATAGGGGAGTTCTATTGTTAGTTTCCTGAAGTTGATTTGTTTTTTAATCTGAATTAGTTTTCACATTTATAAATCAGGAGATTTCTCATAAACATTTGGGGTTCTGGTTGCTAATTTAAAACTTGGAGATTTGGTACCACTGGTTCACATCCTCTCTCAGCAACAACATGTCAGAGCTGAAAAACAGCTGCCTTCTTTAGCTGGAACATGTTTGCCATGGTCCCCACCATCTCTCCCTATTGAATTATGTTCACTGCAGTGCACAGTCCTTTTTTTTTTTTTTCCTTTTGGTACCTGTCTGGGCCCCAGAGGCATCTGAGTTCACAAATACCACTTTCTATAAAACATACAAAGCCAGACTTGTGATGGCCCATTGAAGAATGACTGACTTGGGACCACCTTTATGCTAGCTACCCATATTCCAGGGGAATGTGACAGCAAGAAGAGAAAGAATAAAGTGAGTCATAGAAAGGAAAAAAAGACTCTTTCACACCAAAGCTCCATCCCTATGAAGCAATTAAGGATGAAAGATAAGGAAAAGAAATAACACTTTAAAATAGGGAGTATACACTGAGCATTCCTTTTTAAAAATTTTTTTAATGTTTATTTATTTTGAGAGAGAGACAGACAGAGTATGAGTGGGGGAGGGGCAGAGAGAGAAGGAGACACAGAATCGAAGCAGGCTCCAGGCTCTGAGCTGTCAGCACACAGCCTGACACAGGGCTCAAACTCATGAGCTGTGAGATCATGGCCTGAGCCAAAGTCAGGTGATCAACCCACTGAGCCACCCAGGCGCTCCTCAGCGTTGCTATAATTTTCCTTGCATATATATTTTTGTTTTAGAAAACTGTTACTTGGTGATATAAATTTGAATGGAAAGAAAGACTTAATGGTGTATTTCAGAGTACAACCATCACCAACCATGAGATTACAGATGTAGACATGAAGTGTTTAATCCAAACAGATAAATTAAACACTCACAAACTGCATAGGGCTATTTGAAGAATTGTCAAGGATTTCCACTTGGCAATTTTCCAAAGTTTGATTGGAAAGATGTGTGAGTTTTGCAAGGAGGCTGAAAGTTGTTTTTAACACTTTAGAGGATTATAAGTAAGGCAAATGTGAAGTGCAACTAGGCTGTGCTGAAGTCAAGGCTGTGGTAGGAGAGAGGGTGGTGGTGACATACAGCTCCAGAATCTGTTTGGGGTTTAATGGACTCTAGTGATCGAGTTCTCATACAGCACTATGGGAAATACATATACCCAGAGAAATTGTCCACTGAAAACATCTAGGGAGAAAAAAAAATTAAAAACCTTATGGAAAGGAATACACACAGGAACAGACACCGGAATGATGGAGGAAGGATGGTAAGAACAGAGAAGTGAAAGGTAGGCAAGGGTAGTGGTATCTATCTCCCATGGATAAAAGTGGTCATACTCTCATAGAATATCCTTGTTTCTGGTCTCCTCTAAAGTTGCTTGGTTTTCTCCAAAAGCTATTTTTAGGGTGTGGCTTTAAAAAATTTTCTTAATGTTTGCTTATTTAAAAATTTTTTAATGTTTATTTTTGAAAAAAACAGAGCATGCAGCAGGGAAGGGCAGAGAGAGAGAGAGACAGAACCTGAAGCAGGCTCCAGATTCTGAGCTGTCAGCACAGAGCCCATGCTGGGCTCGTGAACCATGAGATTATGACCTGATCTAAAGTTGGACACTTAACCGACTATGCCACACAAGTGCTCCAATGTCTATTTATTTTTGAGAGAGAGAGACAGAGTGTGAGCAGGAGAGGGGCAGAGGGAGAGGGAGAAACAGAATATGAAGAAGGCTCCAGGCTCAGAGATGTCAGCACAGAGCCCAGTGCGGAGCCCGAATTTGTAAACTGTGAGATCATGACCTGAGCAGAGGTCACATGGTTAACCAATTGAGCCACCCAGGCGTCCTACAATGTGACTCTTAATGCATTAGGATTCCTAGGACCTTTTGCCATTTGAGGGCTCTTCTTGTGTGCCTGAAATTTTATAAGCAACTGACCTTTTCCATGATTCTTTCCCTGGCCCTTTGCTCTGTCACTCACTTTGGGTCTTGGAAGGATCCTATGTCCCTGATCCTGGAGTAAGGAGGAACCTCTACGGGGCTGCTGAACTGTAGACTAGAAGAAGAAAAATGAGAGACGGTGTTAGGAATGGAATACCCTGTGAGTAGAGGGTGACCATGAGTAACAGAGTTGAGAGGAAAACCACAAAAAGTAGTTTGATGGAGTCCGGCTGAGTAAGGCTAAATTTTTACCACATGTGGAAAAGAAGAGCTGTGACCTGCCTCAGCCAGGGATGCTACCCTACCATTATCATTTTGGATTAGTCCTGAACATTCTCTTTCACTGCACTTATGGTGGAGCAGCACCAATCAGACCGATCCTCCTACAGATAACAAATTTAAAAACTGGTCAAAATATGGGGCAACTGACTCAGTCAGTTAAGTGTCTGACTCCTGGTTTCAGCTCAGGTCATGACCTCAGGTTTCATGGGCTCAAGCCTTGCATCGGACTCTGCGCTCACAGCACAGAGTCTGCTTGGGATTCTCCCTGTTTTACTGGCCCTCCCCCACTCATGCTGTCTCTGTCTCTCTCAAAATAAATAAACTTAAAAAAAACTGATCAAAATATAATATCGACTCCGTTAAGTTACTGGAGAGCAATCAACAATTGACACTTGAAAGAAGATAACATCACCGGGTGAGTTTCACATTTTTTACAGTTCCTTGACTGGGGGCAAGTGTCTTTTGGTGCCATGAACAGTGACAAATATGGATGCAAACACAGAAGTTAGATGGTGAGAGGACCAAAGCTCGGGGTTAATGGACTAAACATTCCAGTTAAATGGCAGAGATTATTGGAATGGATTTATTTTAAAGAATAAAAATTTAAGACCAACATATGCTGCTACAAGAGACACACTTTAAATATGAGGACATGGATAAGTATAAAGTAAAAATATAGAAAGGAGATAGCTGTTCAAACAGTAAACAACAAAGAGCTGTATCAATATCAGGATAAGGGCTATTGCCAGAGATAAAGAGGGACACTTTATGATGATAAAAGTCTCAATTATTAAGGAAGGCATGACAATTATAAGTACGCATGCACCCAAAACAGAGCATCAAAATACATGAAGAAAAATTGACAAACGTAGAAACAGACACATCTACTCTCCTAGTTGGAGATTTTGTTTTGTCACTCTCAATAACTAATAGGACTATACCAAAATATCTGAACAGTATGATCAAATATTTTGACCCAATTGATATTTTTAAAACACTACTCCAACAACTGGAGAATACACATCTTTTTGAGAAAAAGAGAGAGAAACAGAATGAGATAGTATGAGCAGGGGGAGGGTCAGAGAGAAGGAGAGACAGAATCCCAAGCACGCTCCACACCATCCCTGCAGAGCCCTGATGCTGGGCTTATACTCAGAAACTATGAGATCATGACTTGAGCCGAGATCAAGAGTCAGACACTTAATTGACTGCGCCACACAGGCACCCCCAGAATGCACATCTTTTAAAGATCCCACAACTTTGAGCCCCTGGGGTTCTTGCTGAAGGGGAATAGGCCTGCCCTGCTCCCCTGTATGTGCTACACCACGGTGCCTTCCTCTTTAGCAGTGAACCATTTAGTCATTCAGAGTGGGCTGGCGGGGCGCTGATGAAACGCACATTAGTAAGCAATTATGGAAAAGCAAAAATGAAATGAATCAATATATTTAAAGACTTAGAACAGTCTGGCGCTTAACTCTACACTCATGTCAGCTAAAGTTAGGACCATGTAGAAGCGACGGGAAGAGAAAGAGAGCTGGCTTTAGGATGACAGTGTGGAGGGCATCCTGGAGCCTGGGTCACAGGGAGGATTACTTCCCGGTGTCAGGAGAGCATGGCTTGCACTCTCAGGGTCATGCAGATGTCGTTAAGTAACTCCTTCCAGAATGACTCCAGGCTAATAAAGAACTACAGGCAGTTCTGATTCTAGGTGCCTCTGAGAAGCTGACTGCTAATTCCCTCCTGCCAGGAGAGGTCTGTGAGAAATCCCCGAGGTGACAGGAGTGGGTTTGTTTTTGTTTGTTGTTGCTTTGTTTTGTTTTCTGCTGCTTTAAGTGTTGAGGTCTGAGTGGCATGGGGGGCACAGGAGGTAGCAAAATGGAACACAGGGAGTTACTGGAGGCCTGCATTTGCTTTTCTCCCACCCTGGCACGGGCATAGGACTTGCCCCCACTAGAGACTCAAATCTGTGGTCCAGAGTCCACAGGAGTAACATAAGAACACTGGCCTTGCCAGGAGCTGAGAAAACAGGTGGGGACCCCTAACCGTAGGTGGTCACTGGCCAGGCCCATACTGTTCCCCAGCCCCCAGCCAAAGGGAAAGCACAGTCCATGCTTTTTGCCCTGAGAACCAATGAGGCTCTTGGCGTATGAGTTGAGTATGTTGGGATGGAACATACTACTGCATGTAGCTGCTGTTTTAATTATGGCACAGGGTCAAGAACGCTTGCAGGCCAGGCTGGAAGAGTATGACTGTGTGTGACTCTTGAAATGCGGAACATCCTGAGCGGTAGAACACACCTGCTCTCTTGGCTGTGCCAGGTCCTGAGGGCAAGCGGCAGTGGCCTGACGAGAGCCTGAGGAAGGCCACCGCTCCCCAGAGAAGGGGGTTCTCTGTCAGCCCCTCTAATTGGAAGTGAATTCTAATTCACTAAGTTAAGTGTCTGACTTCTGCTCAGGTCATGATCTCACAGTTTGTGAGTTGGAGCCCCACATTGGGCTCTGTGCTGTCAGCACGTAGCCTGCTTCAGATCCTCTGTCCCCCTCTCTCTCTCTGCCCACCCCCACTCTTGCATGCTCTATCTCTCTCTTGAAAATAAATAAACTTTTTTAATTTTTAAAATTGTTTTTATTTATTTTTAATTTAAAAAAATTTTTTTTTCTAGGAGAGAGAGAGACAGCGTGAGCAGGGGAGGGTCAGGGAGAGAGGGAGACACAGACTCTGAAATAGGCTCCAGGCTCTGAGCTGACAGTCAGCACAGAGCCCGACGCGGGGCTCGAACCCACGAACCGCGAGATCATGACCTAAGAGAAAGTCGGATGCTTAACCGACTAAACCACCCAGGTGCCCCTAAATAAACTTTTTTTTAAAAAAAGGAGTGAATTCCTATAAATCCTCTTCTCTCCTCTTTGTGCAAATGCCTGTAAATCCACAGAATGTGTGCCCACGCCAGACTCCATCTGGTCAGTGTCTTGCTGAAAGGAAAAAAGAATATCATTACCAAGGTGTCGGGGAGCACCACCACGGGGCAGCAGGAGTGCCGGAGCAGCCGGCCCATTTTCCAGATCGAAATGGGCACCACCACGAGGATCAGCATGAAGCCAACAAACGCAAACAGGGCCAGCGCCAGTGGGAGGGTCTCTCCTGGAAATGAAAAGATAAGAACAGGCTGAGGAGACAACAGCGAAGACGAGATCTCCCGTCCTGGCCTCGCTCGCTGTCCTGGTGCTGGCTCTGCACATCGGCCAGGACAGCAGATGCCAACATCCGGATATTTGACGTCTGCCTTGCTGACTAAAATTACCACCATTAAAACCAATTTTTTTTTAGAATCCAGATTAAGGTGTTGTTTCCAGAAAGCCCCAGGGAAGATTAAAATCTTTTTCTTGGGAAGGGAAAGGGAGGAGCATCATGTGTTAAGGCACTAGCTGTGTTAGCACGTCCCTTGGCCCATCTGCCAGGAGGAAGGCGATGTGCCAGGACCCCGGCAGGATGAGGGGGAGGTGCCGAGAGAGAACGGCACAGAAGGGAGCTGGGTGGTAACTGAAAACAAAATGTGTTTCACAATTTGCTCTTGGCATTGCCTTACATTGTGGAGGAAAATACTGACCTCGGAAAACGGTCACATTGTAATTATGATATATCGAGCCTCTACTATCATCAAGTGACTTACCCCAGGTCACACAGGTAGGGCTGGCTCCAAAGCCCAGGGTCATTGTACTGAGCAAATGTATCAGAAAGTGCCAAGTGTGAGCATCTGCAGTTGCAGAAGGGGTGATAGGTTATGTTCCCATCTTCTTGTTCCGTGTGACGTGGAGCGACTCATTGAGTCCCTCTAGGTCAAACCCCTCACCAATGATGTGAAGGGTGGCACAGCCGGGGAGGCTGCAGAGAAGACAGTGGTATCACGTAGGTGGCTGGGGGCACTGAGCTTTGTTTCAGTACTTTTGAAACTACTTCGGCAGTACACAACAAGAAATAAACAAATGTTCATAGTCTCTCATTTATTCCTCTGAGTGGATTCCAAAGAATTATTTCAAGGAAGGAAACAATTATATGCAGAGAGTAGTTCATAGCAACACCTGGGGTAGGGCAAACAGCCTCATAACCAGTCTGTTTCTCTACCCCCCACCTCCACGTATGCTCTGTTGTGTTTCATTCATAGCACACACCACCAAGTGAAACTATCTCATTTGTTTACTTGTTTGTAGCCCATCTCTCCAGCTAGAGAATAAACTCCCATGAGGGCAGGGGCTTCCCTTCTGTATCCCAGTGACTAGACCAGCGTTTGGCACATAGTCAATGCTCAGTAAATATTCACTGAATGAATCAATCGATCAATGAACATCATCATCAAAAGCAAATGGAACTGACCTAAAACATAGAAATTATCTAAATACCCCAAAATAGGAGATGATTTAATATATCATGTGACATTAACATGTAGGTTAGGAATTCAACTTTTAAAATGGGAATTGGGATATACACACATTTGTTCACTCCAGCATGATCTCCAGTGGCAAGACTGGAAGTATATGTTTTGTTACATATATATATTTTTTGTTATATATATTTTGGCACATCAATAAATTCACTTATTATACATCTTCTTTAAAAATGAGGTAGGTCCGGGTGCCTGGGTGGCTCAGTCAATTAAGTGTCCAACACTTGATCTCAGCTCAGGTCATGATCTCACAGTTCATGAGTTCAAGCCCCATGTTGGGATCTGCACTGATGGCATGGAGCCTGCTTGGGATTCTGTCTCTCCTTCTCTCTGTCCCTTCCTCGCTTGTGTTCTCTCTCTCTCATAATAAATAAATAAATTTTTAAAAATGAGACCAGTTCACATGTAGTGACATGAAAAGACGTTCACAATATACTTCTAAGTGAAGACAAGCAAGGTACAGAACAGTAAGCACAGTACAGTCCCATTTTTTGCCTGTGAGTATTGGCATCACAAGAAGACTAGAAGATTCGATGTCAAACTTGGAAAAGGAAACCTGAGTGATGTGGGGGAGAATGGAGAATGTGTACCTCTCACTTTATATGCTTCTGTGTTGTTTTAATTCTTCACCAAACTTGACTTACATGGTTTTAAAAAGTAGTATAAAATAGTAACCAAAAAAATCCATGTGGAAGATGTTAGAAATGTTATGTCTGCTCTCTCTCAAAAGTAAATAAAACCTTTAAAAAAAAAAAAAAGGGTTGGGGGAGGGGCGCCTGGCTGGCTCAGTTAGTTGAGCACCGACTTCGGTTCAGGTCATGATCTCGCAGTTCATGAGTTCGAGCCCTGCATCAGGCTCTGTGCTGACAGCTTAGAGCCTGGAGCCTGCTTCTGATTCTGTGTCTCCCTCTCTGTCTCCCCCACTCATGCTCTGTCTCTCTCTCTCTCAAAAATAAGTAAAACCTTTAAAAAAAAAAAAAAAGAAATGTTATGTCTGTGAAAAAGCAAGCACACAGTGTGCAAGTATCTACACGTAGATAACGGTAGAACAATCACACCACCTTGCAGAGCAATTTGGGAACAGCGGTCAAAACTTAAATATGGATGCTTGTGACCAAGAAGCTCTACTTCCAGGAATTCATCCTTCAAATATACACACACCAGGGGTGCCTGGGTAGCTCAGTCAGTTAAGCGTCTGACTTCGGCTCCGGTCATGATCTCACCACTCACAGTTTCAAGTCCCGTGTTGGGCTCTGTGCTGGCAGCTCAGAGCCTGGAGCCTGCTTCAGATTCTGTGTCTCCCTCTCTTCCTTCCCCTCCTCCACTTGCACTGTATCTCTCTTTCAAAAATGAATAAATGTTTTTTTTTAAAAAAAAAAAAAAGCAAATATACACACACCAGCAAACTGATTTATGTACAAGATAATTAATTAAAACATTGGCTAGAAGAGAAAAATATTGGGGCAAAAACGAAATATCCACCAATGAAGGACTAGTTAAATTAGTCACATATACACACAACTATATACTGTGCAGCTGTAACGAAGGATGAGAAAGTTCTTATTGATATGGAAAAATCTATAAGATATATAAGGTGAAAAAGACATGATCCAGAACAGCACAATAAGTATGCTACCATTTGTGCTAAAATAAAGGGAAATCTATATGTGTGTGTGTGTGTATATATATATATATTCACATTTACTTGTATATGTATTTAAGTCTTTAGAAGGATATACAAGAAATGAATACCTATAAGGGAGGGGCTAGAATTGCAAGGATGGGGAAGAGGAGTAGAAAGGAGAGTCTCCACACGTATCTTGTGGTGTTTGAGTGGCAGAATCATGGGATATGGGGTGTTGTTTTGTTTTTTTCCAAAGGATTTTTTTAACACTGTAGGGGTTTAGACTATAAAAAATTCAAGGGAAAAAATTAAGTCAAACAAAAGGATTCTGTAGACTTTCCATCAAGTCCCTTCCAGCTGAAAGCAGCAGTGATATACAGTGGGGTGCCTCTTTCCAAGGTCTGACTCTCATACCCCTGGCGGCTTCTCTGGCACCCTCAGCCCCCTCCAGTTCCCAGGTGCTTGCAACATCTGGCCTCAGGCCTAGGAAGCTCTCAGGAGGAAAGTGTTCCAGACACCTGCTCAAGTGACCCCAACAAGACCCAAGGTGAAATCTTGCTTCTAGAAGACTTACAGGAAATCACACTTTCACCACAGAAACCCTCCCAGCTCGGGGGCAGGTCAGTGAAACCTAGAGCAAACTCAGAACTAAAGGAACCCAGAAGATAGCCAAGCAAACACCGGGAAGGGCCTTCATCTGTGCAGGAAGGACTCCAGGAACAGGAAAGCCATCCATACCTTGCACCTTGACACATTCTGCCTGGCTGAAAGGGCTGTGCCTCCCGATGGCCTTCACGAATGTCCGGACCTTCACACAGTAGGCAGCCCCCGGTTGCATGGTTTCCAGGTGCACTGGAATGCCCCTGCTCCTCACCACTTTGACATGTTCCTTTAGGAGACCAGAAAACAGTTACACCCTGAGGGAAGCAGGACAGGACAGGGCAAGAAGAGCCAAGGAAGTAAAGTTTTAGATACTTCCTTTCTGGGATGCATATAGAATGTCCCCTCTCATTTATTCATTCATTCATTCTTATGTATTTATTAAGTACCTACTATGTGCCAGGTACTGTTATAGGCACAGAGACATAGCAAAGAACAAAATAAAGTCAGTGCTTTCATGGAGCTTACATGGGGGGAGACACAATTATAGGACACATGTCAGGTCGTTATAAGGCTGTGAAGAAAAAGGAAGTAGGGCAAAAAGGTAGAATGATGAGTAAGGACTAAACAGAGTGGTTAGTGAAGTCCTCCCTGACAAGGTAACATTTGTGCAAACCCCTGATGGTCAGAAATCTGACTGAGCCGGGGGGCTTGGCATGGCCAGTGTGGCCAGAGAGATCAGTTCACAAGAGCAATGGAGCCAGGAAGCTATGCCTCCTCATCCATCCATCCATTTACCCATCTGTCCATCCATCTGTATACTCCTCTACCTCCACCTCCCCCACCGCCCCCGCCACAGTGAGGCCTGTGCTCCACATTTGTACCCGTAGAGGCTTGTCTCGGCCAAGCCCCAGTGACTCAGAGTACATGTTCCTCTCTCGGCACCGGCCCTGCTAATTACCAAGGGTTGGGAATGGGCTCCATCCCAAAAAATCTGAGGAAGCTGCATGCTCCCTCCTGCCCAGGCCCTGATCTGTCCCCCATACTATTCCCTCTGCCTGGCTGGCAATGCCATGTCCCACCACTGGGCCCTGACCCAGCACGAGTAAATACTGGAAACCATTGTTATTGCCTGCCCCACCTACTCACATCACTTTTCAGGGAAAATACCCAAACTATAGCCCCTGTTGAGTAGATGTTAGGGCACGTGCCTTGTCCCCCAGATACTGCTGTGAGGTCAGGGGCACCCTACGCCAGCTCTGCTGTAGATTCTATGAAAGCTCTCTACTGCCTCCTATCCAGACTTATTATGAAGGCTGTTTTTCTCGTGCTGCCTGCAGTACCATTTGCAAATCAACTTGGACAGGGTCTCCAGTAGGTCTGACTGTCCCTTAGTTTCTGCTCGAGCTCTAGCCCTTCTGCTGCTGCTGCTGTTTGGTTGGCCATTTGCTCTGGGAGTGCCAACAGCCCACCCAACCCAGTCTGCGGCAACTCTCCCACAGTATGATGGGGCGGTGCCCCATTTAGGCATTCTGGGTGGCCAGCTGGCTGATAATTAGACAGGTTTATTCACAAGCCAGCTCCTGGCTCTCTGCCCCAACTTCTGCACCCTACCCAGATACACGCCCTCAAGAAGCTTGTGCCAGTCTCATATGCTTTTGAAATCATCTATATAATCTAGAACACTCTGGTCTGCTACACCTAAACATACCAGGGAGAATGGCTGAGTAGACAGGCTGATGAGGAAGGAGAAAGCACTGAAAGGTATTATGGATCATGCTATGTTAGAGTTTAGGGCAAAGAGGCAACCCCCATACCTCAGCAAATCTGGCCCAAGAAAGCTCCCAGCCAAAGCATGGGGTGGACCAAAGCAATTCTTTGAAAAGGCGGCTCTAGGACTGTCAGTCTACTCCCATTGCTCCCTTCCCACCCTCCACCCAGGACTCTTCATGCTCAGGCCACCCCTGTGAGCACTTCAGGGGCCAGCTTTCCTCGCCCAGCTCTCAGAGGTCTGTGACACCATCCCTGAGGCCCAACTCCAAGGCCAAGGCCGGAAGTCTCACCTTGGCACCAGGCTCCCTCCTCCAGTAAGCCACAAGGAACTCGAACTGGGGTCCCAGGTCTTCCAACTTAATAACCAGATGGAAGCCGTCTTTAGTGACCTCCATCACAGGCGGGTTGAGGATGGCTGTTGGCAAGACAGGGGGAGAATCAAAGCCAGCCCCAGAGAGGACTGACTTTCTGTCCTGTGAGACCAGAACCAAGTCATCAGTAGAAACATGCGAGGGTTATAGGGAAGGGAGGGTGATGATGTCACTTCCCAGCATGCAGAAACTGTACCATCATCCCCCTTATCTGAGATTTTGCTTGCCATGGTTTCAGGTACCTGTGGTCGCGAGGGAAGCAGATGATCTTCCTTCTGATATATGATCAGAAAGTCAGTAGAAGCCTAACACCTACGTCCCAGTATCTGTGTCATGCACCTCATTGCATTTCATCCCTTAGGCATTTTACCATCTCATATCGTCATGAGAAGAAGGAGGACCGGTATTGCACATTAAGATACTTTAAGAGAGGAGTGACCACATTTACAGAACTTTTATTACAGCGTATTGTTATAATTGTTCTTTTTTTAAAAAAATTTATTTTTTGAGAGACAGAGCGTGAGCAGGGGAGAAGCAGAGAGAGAGGGAGACACAGAATTTAAAACAGGCTCTAGGCTCTGAGCTGTCAGCACAGAGCCCGGCGCAAGTCTCGAACTCATGAACCACGAGATCATGACCTGAGCCGAAGTCAGCTGCCCAACCAACTGAGCCACCCAGGCAGCCCATAATTGTTCTTCTGTTATTAGTTTGTTATTAGTTATGCTGTTCATCTCTTACTGTGCCCAATTTATAAATTAAACTTTATCGTAAGTATGTATGTATAGGAAAAAACATAGTATATATAGGATTTGATACTATTCTCGGTTTCAAGCATCCACTGGGGGGCTTGGAATGTATCCCCTGTAAATAAGGGGGACTACTGTATGCCAATACTCTCTTGTACTCTGCAGGTGCTTAGTAAATGTTTTTTGAATAATGAGCAAAATAAAATTTTTAACGACAAAGACTTACTATAATTCTCTTTTCACTCTTCTCCTCGACCATAATAAAGTCTTCTGTTCCTTCTTCACGAGGCATACATACTCAAGAAAAGTGACTCAGTACTCAGATAAACATCTCTTTCTGTTTCTTTCATGCTCCTCTTTTTACTTTTTTTGGCAGAAATTGCTCTTTTCCTTGACTCATCTAAGTGAGCAGATGCTATTTCATAATGCTTGCCAAACACCTGCATGGGCTCAGTTCTATCCTGAAAGGTTGGGTCCATTCTTTGCCTCCTGGGAATGAACAAATCTGTCAGGGACATGTGTATCACTGTAACTCGCATAGGTCAGTGATATATACTGGCTGCTAATGACTTTCAAGCATCAGGGAATCAGCGGCCTGTGGATGGCTTGGCCATTCATTCTATTCTTGGTCCAAGAATTTTTCATTTCATATTCTTACTGGGGATGTTGAAAAGTCAGAGGGCATTACAAATTCCAATACTCAACTCTAGAAACTACAGCTTAAGCACAAACTCCCATCTTTCACCTTGTTGGATCCCAAAGAGGGCGGGAGCAGGCCCTGTGGATTCTTACCCATCAGCACACAGAGGACAGAAGGGCACACAGAGGCAGCCTCCAGTCCCTGGCCACTGGTGATGGATCCATACTTGCCTGTCAAATCTAGACACTGCAGGACCAGAAGAGCTACCCCAATGGTTGACCTTGGCTTGGGAAGTATAGTGGGGTGTGTTCTGGGCTAAATCCCCGTGCACTGAGGTCAGTGGATACTCAGAAGAAAGGCAGTTCCTGGAGGGAGTTTTTGGAGAGCAAGGCATTTTCTGGCATTTGAAGAGCTGCCTGGATAGGGGACAGCAGAATAGGGGAAGTCAGGGACCAACTGCAAAACATAACGGGTTCTGAAGCTTCAGTTTTAAGTAAACATGATTAAAATTGGATCTTCTTTTCTCAAAATTTGTTGAGAATATAATTAGAGAAAATGACCTAAAGTGATTTCAGTTCAGAGGAGAAGTTTTTGACAGTGTTGGGGCAGGAAACTCTCTGTCCTGTGCTTTCTACATTCTTATCTCATTTTATCCATCCAGCAAGCTTAGGAAGGCAAACACTATTCTTATTGTATGGTGACATAACTGAGAAGTCAGAGAAGTTATATGACTTGCCCAAAGTCACATAGTTAATGGCTAGAATTTGAGCCCATGCTTTTGCATATTTCTCGACTCTGCTGTGTGAGCTACTTAGCCTCCATATAGTGAATCTCAAAACTAGCCATATATGAGAACAACCTGAGGATGTTACAAACTCCCAGTGAACAGAATGCACACAGATTCTTTAAATTAGACTCTCTGGGGATGGGCCCCAGACGTGTGGTTCTAAAGGTCTGCTGTGACTGGAATGTACAATCAAGGTTAAGAACCTCTACTCTCAGCAAGACTTCCCCTTAACTTGGGCACCTGGGTAGCTTAATCGGTTAAGCATCCAACTTTGGTTCAAGTCATGATCTCACTATTTGTAGGTTCAGCCCTGCGTTGGGCTCTGTGACGATAGCTCAGAGCCTGGAGCCTGCTTCCAATTCTGTCTCTCTCTCTCTCTCTCTCTCTCTCTCTCTGCCCTTCCCCTGTTCATGCTCTGTCTCTCTCTCTTTCTCAAAAATAAATAAACATTTAAAAATTTTTTAAAACAAGCTTTCCCCTTAAGACTAAGAGAGTTTTTTTTTTTTTTTTTTTTTTT